GCTTGAAGGGAAATGTGTTAATAGCCTAAGACTATACTTTTTTATGTCTTTATTTAGGTATGCCAAGTAATTGTAAATGGGCTCCCCCTGTTTGTAGAGAAATATAAATCCAGGTTTGCAAAAGAGCTCAGCACCCATTCAGGCACCTAAAAAAGGACCAAATTTTCTATAGTTCAGTGCACATATAAGCATGTAAATTAAGGGGCCATGTGGTGGGGCATCTGCTCCACACTGGCAGAAGAGGGGTTAAAGCAGCCCCAGGGAGGCTGCGCAGGAGGCAGCCAATTAGGAAAGGGCTTGTAGAGATAGCCAATTGGGAGAAGGGTTAGAGAGACAGCCAATCAGGGCCAGGCTGGGCCATATAAGAAGGGCTGCAGAACAGCAACACTTCAGTCATTCCTTAGAGTTTGAAGAGGGAGGACTGGGTGCCCTGAAGGATGGTGATGAGATAGAGCCATGGTCAGAGCAGTACTGGGTGGGTCTGGGGAGCATGAGTGAGCTCCTGGCTGACTGCTGCCAGACTGGGGCCCTGATACAAGGGTGGAGATGGTGCTAGAGTTGTGGGGAAATGGCCCAGGGAAACAGATGGCAGGGGTTGGAGGTGATGCAGGAATGTGTTAACAAAGATTGGATAGATTCATGAAGGAAGAACTTTATTTATATTTCAGTAGTAATAGGCTCAAATACTTTTGATGTGGTAATTTTATTATGATTATTTTGTAGTGTTAAATCAATTTCTAGAATTGTTTATATACCTGTAATGTACTTTTCTACCCAGATTCTGCATCAAGCTAAACCATGTCTACCATAATTTTGTAGACAAAGTATTAACCTGTAACATCTTGAGATTAAAGCAACAGTCACCATTTTCTTCTGCTGGGAAACTTCTATGGGAGTGGATCAGCTTTCAAGTCCTGCCTCTCAGCAGCTATTCCCCATAGCAAATTCCCTCCCAACCATGTCAAGAGGGCTGCCATAGGTTTCAGAGGGAGAAGCCATTTTCATGCCAGTTTTGGTAAGTACTTGCACATTTTCATAAGCACAGCCATATAGGATCAGTTTGCTCTCCGATTGTAATTTCCAGTTGCCAAGATACTGCCATCACAAAGTAGCAGTTGTCAAACTGCTCTGTTAATCTAACTTTGCTTAAACTTGCCTCTGTAGCAACAAGAGTGTTTCCGCCCCATTCAGCTCAGGGAGCTGTTAACATTGAATTAAAACTGGCAGTCTAGTAAACAACACTGTTCACTGTTGTAAAATGAAGTCAGTTTTCAGGACGTTTTCTATGCATATGCAGCTTGATATGTGTTAGCAAATGCATTTGGCTTGAACTCTGTATTATATTTCCTTTTTGCAGCTCCTCTACCTTCTCCCTATACTTCAGTGCCCTCTTTTTAAATAATTACATTTACAATTAGGCATTATAAGGGTTAACTGGGCTTAGGTCTTCCTGACAGCAACAGGTGTAACATTTATGTAATCTGTGAAGAGGAGAAACATCCATGAAATGTGGATTAGGGTGCCATCTACCTGATTTGTTTGTTGCCAGTCTAGTGCATGCTCTTCCGTTCGACATAACATTTTAATTAAGGCTACGTTTTAGTCATGCGTATTTTTAGTAAAAGGCACGGACAGGTCACAGGCAGTAAACAAAAATTCACAGCCCATGACCCATCACTGACTTACTAAAAATGCCAGTGAATAAAACTTGGGGCTGGGGAGAGGAAGCTGCCCAGGGCCCCCGTGGGTGCTGGGGGAGGGAAGCCCGCCTGCTTGAGGGGAGGGTGGGTGGCGGCACGCAGCCCAGGACCCCTGCTGATGCTGGGGTGGGTGCAGGCAGCACCGCCCCCGCAGGATAGCTCACTCCTGCCGTGGCTACACAGGAGACCTTACAGCAACACAACTGCAGCGGTTCAGCTGTGCTGCTGTAAGGTCTGTAGTGTAGACATAACCTTAGACATGTAGGATTGGAATCTAATCCAATCCCCTGCACTACGGCAGGAGTAAGTATTATCTAGACCTTCCCTTACAGGTGTTTGTCCAACCTGCTCTTAAAAATCCTCCAATGATGGAGATTCCACAACCAATCTATGTGGTTACGTAAACTGAAGATAATGGCTGATGCACATTAAATCCTAAGGATAGCTTATTACAGGAATGGCTGCAGTCATTTTCTTTGGTTTAAGATCCAGGATACCAGTGGCTCTTGGGTAAGTGATGGGTCTCTTTGGATGGGGAGCAACCTGAATATATATATATTGTGTGTGTGTGTGTGTGTGTGTGTGTGTGACCATTTATTGCTAAATCCAGCTTGCGTGAGTGACAAAATAGACTGGAGAGCCAAGAGTTCATATTTACTACTGGACTGGTGAATTCTAATTATAGAACATACTACCAGTTTGGGGTGTCTGCCCTGTTTTTGACAGTCTGCCCTGAAGTAGGCATTCATGATTGTGAGCCACTCCATGCAGTGACAGACACCATATAATTTAATATAGTGTAATGTATGTGTTTCACCCATTTTCACTACTTTAAATTCATTATTCAAATATATATTAGTGGTGTGTGTACATGTATCCGATTTGGACTTATGACAGTAAAATTTAATTTCTTTGCTCTAGCTGAAACAAACTAGTACCACTAACAATAAATGACGCTGTTGGCCAGTTACACTGCCTCTTACAAACCTGTATTAGCATCGCTATTAGTTACATACTGATAACTATTTGTACTACTTTATTTCATTAATGAAACTAACAACAGTTTTTTGCTTCACCACTATTTATTTCTTAATAAGGGGGGAGAGATAGCTCAGTGGTTTGAGTATTGGCCTGCTAAACCCAAGGTTGTGAGTTCAATCCTTGAGGGGGGGCCATTTAGGGATCTGGGACAAAAATCTGTCTGGGGGTTGGACTAGATGACCTCCTGAGGTCCCTTCCAACCCTCGTATTCTACAATTAAAGGATCATTCATTGTTGTGTGCTACACAGAACAAAAAGTACTAGGTGAATGGCCAAGAGAAGAGATGCATCCAGTTTACATTATAATTTAGCATTAACATGAATTGCAATGAAAGGATCTTCAGCCTGGTTACTAATCTGGAAATTGGCAATACCACCAGAAGCAACATTGACTCTTGTTCCAGTACAGGAGTTGCCCTCCTTTTGCCCAGAAATAACATCACAGTAAGTGCCAGCAGGAAGGCCAGTTTGCAAATTCACATTCAAGCTCCTATGTATAAAAACAGATTGAAAAGGAATAAGTGATAATTCAGACTCTCATACAGATATTTCTCTATAATTAAAAACTTGAAATGTCATGCTAGCCTGTGGCCCATGGGATGGCCCTACAAGGCCAGATGGGTTTTAGTCTTCTGTCTGGTCTTTTACTCTTTGGCCAGTGGGATTGGGAGTGCTGGTATGGGAAGCATACTCAGTCTACTGTGACTTCTTTAGCCAAAGTAAGAGCAACTGTGATGAATTCAAAGGTTCAAGGCAGTCTTCATAGGCACCTCACAAGGTTGCAGCACTATGAAGAAGACAGGTAGTTCCCTGTCACTCATTAGAACAAAAGCTTCATATATTTCTGGGATACTACTCTCATAACAGGCATAACCTCCACAGAAACTTCATCTAAGGCCTGCTCTTCACTTAAAATTTAGATTGACCTTCCTACATTGCTCCAGGGTGCGAAAAATCCACACCCCTGACCGCCGTAGTTAAGCCGACCTAAGCCTTGGCATAGACATGGCTAGGACCATGGAAGTGTTTTTCCATTGACATAATCCACCTTTCAAAGCAATGGTAGTTAACTACCGTGGTGAAAAAACCCCTTCTGTCACTATAGCATACTAGCTGTATGCCCGTAGTGTAGACATGACCTACATCTCCTAAGGCAGATTTAGGCCTCCAGCAATAAGAGAGAACACAAACTTCACAAAAGATTCTTACTGTATTTACCAGCTTTCTTAGCATGTTCAGCTTTCAGTTCAGACTCAATGTTTTGACTTGTCACTTCTGTACATGTATTGTTCTTCTCCCTCTCCCAAGGACTCACCCGAAATGGCCTTTTCTGATCTCCCACAGTGCCTCAGTGGGGCTACTGCTGGCTTCATAAGGACTCTTTTTCTGGCAATGTCATACTCTTCATGGCTTCCACTGAGTTTCAAATTCCCCAAGGCCTTGGCTACACTGGCAATTCACAGCGCTGCACTTGCTGCGCTCAGGGGTGTGAAAAAACACCCCCCGAGTGCAGCGCTGTAAAGCGCCAGTGTAATCAGCGTCTGCAGCGCTGCACGCTCTCTCGCAGCGCTGCAAGCTATTCCTCTTGGAGAGGTGGAGTACTTGCAGTGCTGCGAGAGAGCTGCCGCAGCAGCGCTGTGAATCAGCGAGTGTAGCCAAGGCCCAAGTCTCTTTCTGCACCTCTGACATGAGAGGAGCCTAGAAGAGCACAACACCAATCCTAACAAACTAACACCCCTTAGACTCCACTAGAGTCTTTGGGAATATCCAGAGAGATTGAAGGCATTGCTGGGGACAAAATGCCTTTTGTAGTGAAGAGGGAGTCATTTAACTGAAGTGATTCAAACCTTAACAGAGACAATGCCAAGAACAATTCAGTGAAGAATTCTCCTCCCTTCTGCAGACCTGACCCAATCCCACCTTCATGGCCTTTCCGAGAGCATCCCAACCTGACTGACTTATTACTCTTAAATCTCCACCCATTTCTTTAGAGCCATCCACCTGCTAGCTCATGGCTAGTTACCTCTTAGACCTGCATGGCTATGCATTTCTGACTGACCAACCTTCGCTGCTGGGTATGAATCCAGTAATCTGGAATCAGTAGCAGACTGGTGTGGTGCTTTAGAAAGCTAATGTTGGATTTTGAAAAGTGTTTCTGGGAGAAGGCAGGTGATAGGTTTGGATTTGCAACAGGTAAAGTTGTCACACAACCTTTCTACAGCTAAAATGTTACTGAAGCTATTCACCCCACTTACTTACCAGTCATCATTATTAAAGACAATGAATCCTCTATTACCACGCCCAAAAGCCACTTGATTGCTGCCATTGTCCCACCAGTTTGAGAAAGGCTGGCCATCAACCACATTACGGAAAATAACCATGTTCCTGAAAATACAACAAATAGGCTTGACTTTAATTAAAATATCCCCACTTCAGTTATAGTGCAAACTGCATCATCTTTAGTTAATTTCTCTCTACAGTTTCCTACCTTATTTGACGCCACCTATGTTCACAGACCCAGTCGTTGCCACAAGTGCTATCTGCATTGATTGTAACAGCTTTGGTTGAGCCATCACCATTGCTTGGTGGTCCTATCCAGTCATTAACATCCTTGTTGATAAACATAAAATTATAAAAGTTAAATGTTCTATCTTGGAAAAAGGCCAAACCTAGTAAACAGGATAACATTCATTCTTGTTCAGAGAGTCAACACAAGGCTTATTCATCACTCAAGTACCACTCCTACCGTAAGGATGTTAATGGGCATTAAGTAGGGCATAGGCCCAGCGCTGTCTCGCTACACAGTGATAAAGTTCATCTTAAGAGTCATGTGAATTTATTTTCAACTGTTAGAAACCTACCTGTCCATTCTGGAAATTTCTTGTCCAGCGGTAACTTGACATTACACGTGTGAATCCGTAAGGATGAGCAAGCATGAAACCAACTGCCATTTTATATAATCTGTAAGCCAAAGAACAATGAGACACATTAAGATACACTGTCTTCGTTAGGACAAAAATAATAAGATCCTTCACACAGCCAACAGCGTTCCCTACCTGGCATCAAAGAAGGTTAGAATAGATGCTCCTCCAGCACCATGTCCCCTTTGGTTGTCATGATTATCCACAAAGACAAGGGCTCTGTCAGAAGCTATGAAACCCCAGCCTTCTCCCCAATTCCTAAACAAACAAACAATGAGTCAAACACATTGACACTAATATTTCAACTATTGCAGGAATCTAACAATGAATCCAAATGCTATATACTTTAAATAGGACATCTTTTCTCCATTCCATTTGCGGATGACTGTCCCCAATTTCGCACCATATTTGAATTCAGTCACTCGGCCATTTCCAAAGTAGTCACTGGCTTTAATTGGCTCTCCACCCAAGTCAATTACCTGGCAGAAGTAAGAAAAAGCTGTTAGCACATTCCTAGCTATTTAAAAAGCAATACAATAAACACTAGTTCTGGGTCTGTATTATAAGAGAAATAATTTGGTTTGAGCAAGTAAACACATTTATTGCTACTACCTAAAGCAACTTAAATTCAATGTAATGAAGAACATTACAATGTCTTATTTTGTATATAGCAAGCATGGTTAGCTGTTGTGGGTGTTAAAAGAATTGCCCCAGTGCCAGAATGCTTAGTTTGAGAATTCGAGAAACATTTGAGAAAAACCCCACCAAACTTTTTCCTACTGGGAGTAATTAGTGTCAGCTTTTTAAACAGCCGTTTAAAGAGAGGAAAGTATTCTTTTTTTTTTTTTTAAACGCAAAACTCTATCTATCATTAGCTTAGGGCCTACACAAAATAATGCGATGCTCTTTCTGTTGGCTCTGCAGTAGAAGTTATCTAACAAAATAAAATTTTCTAGACCTGTACATATTAAAAAGCCCTGGAGAACTGTTCGCATAAGATTTCCAAGGGGTCTTGGAAAGCTCCAGTGTCAGCATAAAAGACAAAGTGAGATTCCTAAGTGGCAAAGGTTAGACTCCATAGAAATATTTTTGCTTGATTTGCCACTTCGTTACACTTTGTCATCATTTGCACCTGTGTAGAGCAAATGCATAAGTATCCGCATGCAAAAAACAGATATTTATACACCTACTTGATTTCAAAGCAAAAGCGCCTATTTGTATATGCAAACTGATGATCATGTAAAATTAGAGAATTTAAAATTTAGCCCTTAAATCTTTCTTTCGTATAGGGCACGCGTAGCCGGGTGGACACCAGCTCCTGCCCTGAGGGGTTGGAAAAGCCCTGCAGAGGGCTTGGGCTGGGCAAGGTAAAACCCTGGCTGATTGGGGGAAGTGGCTGCAGCTGGGCCACACCCTAATCAGAGCCCAGATGGCCTGTATAGAGAGGCTGGGAGCTAGGAGCTCAGTAGTAGACTCTCTCTCTCTCTCTCTCTCTCTGTGTTCAGGGAAAGAAGGGCCTGGCTGCAGGAAGCTAGACAGGATACCTGTAGTGGAGCAGGGCTGGGGAAAGGCCGAGGAGCTGGGGAGCTCCAGCCTGGATAGCCCCAGGCTGCAGCCTGGTAGGAGGCCAAGGGGTACTGGGGGTTGCAGAGGGCAGCCCAGGGCTAGGCCAAGGCAGCAGGTCCAAACTCTCCTTGCCAGTGATGAGTGGCCTATACTGCAGTCTGCCCCAGGGAGCGGGGGCTAGTTGGTGACTGGCAGTGACCTAGTGCTGAGGCAAGGTGGGGATAGTGGGTGGGGGTTCCCCAGGGAGGGGAGACCCAGATCC